ACTGTTCTATTTGAAGAAGATCTGTGGGAGTTTTGCCTTTGACAGAGTCACAATGTAAGGTCTAATTTTAGAAAGGTTCTTCATTTAATTTAACCACAAGCTTGCATGTTTCATGGAGAATTCTTTGCACATGTAACTATCTCATTTATTTTCTGCCCTCTTCTGGGATACATAAAGAGCTAAAAAATATAAATGCAGTTTTGAATGCTTGGAGATCTTATTCTGAGTTTGGAACTAAGATTAAATTCTGTTCCCTATTTTTTGAACCTCTCTAGTCTTCAAGTTATCAGGAGACAAATATAACAATTTGAGATTATGATACAGAATCTAGGGAATTCTGAAGTACTTGGATAACTATGTAGTATAGTTTAAAAATCTACAACAGAATGTACAGTTCTGTCTAACCCTGCTTTACTGAAATGTACTTTTGCTTCATTAAATACAGTGCTTTAAAGGAAGGAGAATGGCGTATTTTTAGTGCCAGAAACAGAAATATTTGGAAATCACAAGTCAGATTGAAAGAAGTCATGAAAATAGTTGATAAACACAGGATTTGGGGTTTTTTTCAACATCTGCTTTTTTGAGACTTTAGGACCCTGTTTATACATATAGCTTCAGTATATAAAACTAATGGTATGAGATGCGTGAGAAAATTATTTCTGTTGGTAGCTGTTTGAGGGCAGGAAGTATATGGCATTTTGCATGCACGGAAGTGAATGTTGTATAGGTAATGTAGTACACGCTATGTAGTCTATATGCCTAGTGTAGGCTATAATGACTCCTTTAGGTTCTTTGCATTCTAAATTAGTGTCTTGAAACATCAATAAAATTTTCTATACTTTAATTTCGCAACTGTTCTAGCAACCCAGAAGTTCTGACTGAGTCTTTTGATAATCGCCAGTTTGGCCATCACATTGTCTGTAACTATTAAACTCAGAGGAAAATCTTCAGCATCGACCAGATTCTTTTACTGTTTAATGTAGGTCTGGGATCAGGAACAGCTGCTCTTGGAGACGGTGCTGCAGCTTTGAGAAGCATTAATAACAAAAGGTGGTGCATTATATCTGGAGTGAAACCTTGGCTGACGTCCTGCCCCTTGATGAGTTTAAATCGGTGTCTGGGTTTTACTGAATTCTATGGCAGCCTTTTATATATACATATGCATGGCAATGTATGAAAAAAACAGAAATTTTTCTCAAACAGATGGTGTGTTGAAAGTTTTCAGAAAAAAAAGTTTAAAGAAATGGGAATACTGTTAAAAGATATGCAGCATTTATTGTAATGTCTGGAGTGCCTGTTAATTGGAATTTAAGTGTTAAAAGCTACATTTTAGTAACACCAGTCACAGCTGAAAGCAGTCTTCATGGAGATTGTCATTAAAGTGGCTGAACAGCCTTTTTGAGTTTATGTTACTTTTATGATTTCCAATGAAAGAAAAATAACACAGGAGAAAATTTTGGAAGTCTGATTGAAATCTATTTTTATCTGTCTGTCTACAGGATCCTGGTTTATAACAAAACATCATTATTCAGTGTTTATTCATGAATGTTGTAGGAATTCCATAAGGTGCTTTTTTTTCCATGCTCCTGGCTATTTTTTTCTAGTTTCTATTTCTGTTTTGGATTGATTTCAGGTATATTTCCTTTTGATAGTTTTGTCAAGACAGCAGAACCAAACAGGGAGGGCTTTCTACCAAAAGAGCAGGTAGTCCTCTGGCCAATGCTTGCCTCAATTTGACATGGCTAATCTTATTTTTAGTGGATCCTAAAGCTGTTTGTGCTGCCAGTAGCATCCTTGTCACCTCCTCTGTATTTGCCTGCTCACAATTTGCATTTCCCTCTGGGGAACTGTCAGACCTTTAATCACAGAGTTAGCCCATCAGAAACACTGGCTTTCCTGCCCTGGTTTCAGTGCAAGTCTTCAGGTAGCTCTTGTCCTTGAGCTGAAGCTCCTGCTAGATTTCGGTGGAAGGGAAAAAGCAAGCTTACACCTAGGCCTTTTGAAGAAAAGAGGCAAAAGGATGAAAACATCAAAGCAGATTTACAAATCATTGTGCTACAAAGGGAACTTTGATAAGTTACATGGGCACTGTCCATAGCGTGCTGTTTATTGAGCATCCCATGGATGTGTTCCCTAACGTGAGAGTGCTTCAGTAGCTCAGGTGTTAAAAAAATTATTATAATCAATATTCAATACATATAATTGAACATCTCTCAAAGAGCTCGATACGTTCCTAATAATGCCACAGTTTAGCAGAGCTTATGCCAATCTTGTCCACTTGTGAGCTGGTATATCAAATGCAGCTCCAAGCAGTAGCAAACTTTCGGTCTTGTTCCTCAAAATGGAATTATGAAAATCAAAATAATCCAATTTACATTTCTCTTTTTGATAAATTTGCTTTGGAAAAACATCCCATTTCAAATGTTTCTTTCTTTTATTCTGTGATGCATGGCTAATGCATATCTTAGACTAACTAAGGTATGATCTGTACTTTATGATTTACTGTATGATCCATGAGACATCCTATAGTTGACTATAAATACGAAGGAAAAAGGTTACCTTCTTTCTTCTTTTGTTGATATGATTGCAGTTCATCACTAAGAGTGAAATTGTGAGCAAATAGTTCCACCAGGGAAAGGAAGAAAGAAATGACAAGTATGTGAAAGAGAATAAAACCAGATAGACGATCCTGTTCATTCTGAGTTCAGAAAGAATGATGCTCTTCCCAGACAGACCCTTCAGCAGAAGCATTTATCAGTCTGATTTTGGGTTTGAAACGGTAGAGAGTAAAAAGCAGATGAGTTCTCATCTCTCAGAGAAATTAAACAAAGCTTAGTAACATTCAGCCTCTCAGTAAAAGAGAAAGTAACCCATCTGATAATACACCATCACTAACTTAACATCTTTAGGGCATTTCTCTAGCTTATCTCCTGGGTGTAAATTAACGTGTCTTTGTCTTTCTCCTTCAAATACCTATCTCTGAGACGCAAGTACTATTTTTATATCCTTCTTCTATTTTTCTCATATGTGAAAGCCTGTCATTAACTTGTTTACCCATGAAATCTTCTTTGTCTCAGAGCACAGTCATACTTCTCCTTTGCAGAGCCCTCAAATAGGATTATTCTGTCTGTTTTCCTGCAACACTTTCCATCATACTCAGTATTTAAGGAAGCTCAGCATTTTATGATAGACAATGTTGTAGTTTCTTTTGTAGTTAAAGCACCATGCTTCAAAATACTCTCCTAAACCTTGTGAAATATTTGGTGAACATATGCATAACTCTGTTGCCTACAAGCAGATATGATACTATTCAGGAGTTGTCCTTGAGACTGAGGTTTTGTTGATGCAGGATTTCCTGCTAGATCCATGAAAAATGACCCTTTTTGTCAACTTAAACTTATCATGCTGTTACATTAAATGTAATTTGTATTGGTCAGTGGAGATTGAGATTCTTATTCAAAAGTAGTACTTAAGAAGTACCATAAACACTAAAAATATGCAGGTGGTGAGAGGAAAAAGGTTCATGTGAGCAAAATGTAAACTGCAGTACATATTTGTGTCAGTTTTGAATCTGTCATCCTGTAGTGATACTATTTGCTGGCCATTTTTTACTGTTTTTACCAGACTGAAAAATCTTGCCTTTTAGAAAACCTGAGCTTTCAAATGATACTGGCCCTATTCAGAGGATTGAATTCAGTCATGCAGGGCTTCTTTTCATCTGTCTTTGCCTTTATGAACTTCATCTTGAGGCCAAGAACCAAGCAGTGCTTTGAAATGCTGCAGCCTAATAGAAACGAGTAGAGTTACAAAATAACCTGAATTTTTACTCACATTTTTACTAATGAAGCTGAGGCTCAGGCTTCACTAGCTGATAGGAATCATTTAATATATCTTTCCATTCAAGAAAAGTTTTGTAGTCATTTCTATATTGGATATAAACAAAGACTAAAAGACTATAAAAAAAGTCTAAAACCTAAATATAAATTGAATATGTTTGACAGTTTAAAAAATACATGACCTTTTGGACATGAAGAAGAAGGAGGGCAGCATCACTATTAAACATTTCACAGTATTTAAGACAGTGACTTCCAGTCTTCTCAATTCCTTTGGCAAAACTAAGTTCTCATTTTGAGCTTTATCGAAAATCCATTGAAAACATAGCAAATCCCTCTGCTGAGGCCAGTAGCCTTTGAACAGATTGTGTTATTTTGACAAACAAAACAGTTTATGCATGAGGCAAAATAACTGAGAATAGAAATGTGCAGCCATCAATTGAACAGCTTTGAGTCTGTACTGTACTAATACAGAGCTCAAAGGCTCTGAAGGATTTACAGTAGTGATTTTCTTTTATTCTGGGTTAGTAACTTTAAATACTTTAATGAACAATTAACTAGATAAGAATGTAGTATTGCCATGCTTAAAATGTTCAAAATAACACAAGTTTTCAAAATTGAAGTATTTGCAATAATATTCACCTCTTTATAAATATTTGCAAAAGATTTTTAACTATTTTGTAATGTCCTTCCTGCAGGATCCAAAACTGCGTGAACTGTTGGATGCTGGGAACCTAGGAGGTCGACTGGAAAATCGAATGATAACTGTTGTGTATGGTCCAGACCTGGTCAATATATCATACTTGAACTTGGTGGCATTCCAAGAGGACATAGCAAAGGTGATATACATTCATTTATGTCATATAAAATGAATGTTTTTAAAGTACCATTTTGAGATATGGATAAATGAGATAAAAGTGGAGATTGCTATGAAATGAACCTCAGTTCTGGTAGAGCTGTGCCACTCTGTAACCAAGAAGAAATGTGCAATCATTTTTTCTTTTTCAGGGAGTTTATTCAGCAAAGTTTATGACCCTGATATGTAGACTTATCTTCAGAACATTGTTTGTAAAGCCTAAATAAGTGCTGTGAAAATAATGGTACACACAAATTTTTACTCAGCTATAAGTAGTACACTGTGACTCTCCAAACACACATCGGTATCTTTCAGTAGTTACCACCCCTTTATGCTTGTTCCTGGTGTGTGCTAATTATGGATCATCTGTGAGAACAAAGTTTGTAAGTAGTTGGCTTTTTAAGTTTGGCCTATATCAGTAGTGGGAATCTGCAGCTCTACCTTGTATACTCAAGTATGTCAGCAATTAGACAGCTTGTTTAGCTTACGCACAAGAATGTATCTGTTCATGTTTGAAGGTCAATTTTAAGCGTTGCATTTTGCCTGCTGATAGCCCTTGATAAGAACTGTAGTCAACATCATTACTTTAGTAAAGTGTTTTTTCCATGCAGGTGTACACTCCCTTCATTTCTGTCTAACACACCACATAAAACACAGTTGTGTGTGCCAAGCAAGTTTTGATTGATATTAGTACATGTTTTGGAGGTTTGGGATTGTTTTTTTCTTCCAATTTCTATACAACTCAATTGTGTTTAATGAAGTGGGAGCTCTTTGCTTTATCAATCCTAAATTGACATTCAGAAGCTACTTCTCTTTCCACTTCCATTCATATGGGTAGGCTCTGATGACAGCCTCCAGATAACCACATACAGAACATGCTTTCATACGGTTTGCATCCTCGAGGCTGCTAGATTGCTGTAAAAATGTAGTTTCTCTGTAGACTGCTTTTATTTAACAGCAAGAAGGAGTTATTTTGTCACTTTGCAGGCAACAAGAATGGTCAGACCAGGTGAAGAAAAAAGATCATGGGATGAAAGCCTTAAGCTAGGAGGATATATTTTTGCCTGCCAGCTTTCTGTCTCTGCTAATCTTTATTAGCCGTTCAGTCAACTTGGCAAAAAAACAGTTTTCACTGTTTTTTTGATATGAAAGAATAGAAACAAATGAGTTAGCAATGGTCTATGGACTGCTGAGTGGGAAGTGCTGTCCTCAGACTTGAAAATGCACAGCTGTACTCTACAGGGGTGATTAAGAAATCTTAACGGTGCAAATGTGAAAGCAATTGAAACAACTCTTCAGGAAAAAATCCATAAGTATGTGATGAAAAATGAAAAGGTATGCTAAAGCTTTACCAGATAGAATTGTTAGCCCTTACCAAGAAAGAGGGAAAATCACCCAAATCAGAAGTGTATGGTCTTCTTTGTCACTTTCCTTTCTAGCCAGCAGTCAGTGAACTATAATCTATTTACCAAAGCAGTGTAGAAATTGGTGATTTTAGGGCTATTTTCTGTTTGATAATGGGACCTTAAAATACAGTAGATAAAATAATGTTTTAGGAAAGCTTAGCTGCTCTAAATCCTGAGTAACTCCTACAATCTGAGTAACTAAGAATCTAAGTCTTCCTTGTTATTTGTAAATGCAGTAGACCAAATAAATTTATATTTTATCACTCAGGCACTGTGGCCTGGGGATGTTATTTTCAAAGCATTGCAGATTAGCTGTGCTTGCTTTGAAATCACATTAAATACACTGATTGTTTCAGTGAGAACAGAGTTTGATCATTGTTGAATGCATCTAAAAATTCTTCATTTTTTAACATTTTTCCAACTTTATATGAGCCAGACCACAGAATGAGGTCCTTATCATCTCCAGGACCCATGTAGTGACTCAGAGAAGTTGTTATAAATAAGTGCATCAGGCACAAGTCTTTGGGGACTTCTGAGAAGACATGTAAAATACAAGTATGTACAAATACAATGTCACACGTCTAAATTTTGACCCTTCCTCTTGCTGCTGTTCCAGGGAAAGCAAGCACTAACAAAAAAATCCCTCACCTTTCCCTTTTCAGTGCACAAATAATTTTTGGATTAACCCCTCATTTGTGATACCTTATTTTTGAAGTTGCATGACAAGTATCGATCAGTGCTTCCTTGGAGAAGAAAGGCAAGGTAAACTGTAACAGTTTTAGTGAGGCAGTTAAAATTATTCAATTATGGGGTTTTCTTCCTTTGCAGAAGGCCTCATATTCTCCCACAAACTCTGTTCATCACATTCACTGGCCAAGTTGTGGTAGAATTATTGAAATATGAGCCTTGCAGTATTCAGCTTGCTTTAACTGAACTGAATACAGGGCTAGAAATGATGATACAGTCATGATGTACTTTTTCCTCTGGAAGAAAGTATCTAATGTTTAAAGTACACTAGTGATGAGCTGAAGGGTGCTGAGCAGCTGGTTTGTTCAAAGAATGCAGCTTGAAATTCATCAGTGTAAAAGGCAGATTGCTAGAGGCTTCTTGATAATGGAGAAGTAGCACTGATAGAACACTTGCTTATTTTCAGAAGGTTGTGCCTGTCTTGGGGTAGGACTTGTAAGCATCTATAAACATAGCACTGCAGAAGGCAGGAAAAATAAAGTAGTTTATTCTCAAACCCTGTTCTAAGCGGATGCTCTTTTTCTCCATTCCCAACATGAAGAGGTTCAACCTGTGAAGCTCTGTGTCTCCTTTACAGTATTTCTTTCTTCTCCCAAATCCAGTAACTTCAAAAGTGAACATCCCATCTTTCCCATCTCTTTCCTTTAGCTCTCTTTTGTGCCTCTCATGCCAACTCTGTTCTCACCACACTAGTCCATCCTGGCCACACAGTCCCCTATCCGGAGCCCAGGGAATCCTGTTTCTTCTCAGTCTGATGACCTCTGGATCAGATCCGTCACTAAGAGCTGATGAATTCCTCCACAAGTAAAATTCTGTAGTCAACAGAATTCACAAGTTGAGCTACACTGTGCTTTCTAGCATACATCTTTATTTTCCCAGCTTCTTAGGCATATTTATGAGCTTGATCGGTATAATAAAACGGTAAAACAAACCGTATAAATTCATGTCCATTTGATACATTTTTTTAAATAAAATTCTTAAGGATGCCAAAAGTGTCAAATTTCAGCAGCTTGCTGTTAACCTCTCACCAAAACCAAATGTGTGACAAACATTGCCTTCACACGTAGTCAGTTCTGATTTGAAAGAAGTATTTTCAAGAATGTGTGTTGTCCTTTCTTATCAAAAAGATCTCATCTCTTCTGTTGAGATAAATGTCTTGCGGTATGTATCCTGATGCACATAATAGAGGAGAGAAATTACTTCACTGAGCAACAGATTTCCAAACGAAGTGCTGCTTATACGCTACCTGCCAAAGCACAGAATGGCTAAATAATTGTTAGTAAAGTTCACAGGAATGATATAAATATGAATGAGTGTAACAGAATGTAACCAAGAGGAGATTGAGTTCAGGGAGCTCTTATCATGATGGATGTGACTTGCTTGGAGTTGAATGTTGGAAGGCTGGGTTCTTCGGCTACCAAACGGGATCAGAGGCTTCCAACCTGCAAACAGTTTGTTGGCACTAGTACAGTCCTATTTCAAAATATTCAGATTTATGTTTTCCTTTTATATTGCAATCTGAACAGGAGTCTGCAGCTACCACAGTGATTCGGAGGCTATTATAACCTTTCCACAGTAGGCTGTTTTCTTTCTACACATAACAGCTTTCTACCCCGTGGAGCACTCTCACTGAGCATTGCCTTCTGCAATTGCTGCTGCTGGTAAAGACGACTGCAAAGTGCATCATGCACGGAGTTAGAGTATTGGCTTTACTCTGTACCATGCAGCAAAACGAAGGAAACAGAGCCATTTGAGTAGCTGAAGCAGCAAGACGCACCGTGGCTCACAGCTTGATGCGAGCCCATCAAAGTCAGTCCAAAGCATCTCCTTTATTTCTTCAGGTCTGTGCTCAGGGCTGTTGTTTCCCCTCCTGCTGAGGGTTCAGACCAGTGACTGAAAAGATTATGTGATCCTTGGCATATTTTCCAGTTTCGGGTTTTTGGCTGCGACTCTGTGGTGGCTGGAATGAAGACCCTAAAATGGGAGAAGCAGTGAGCAAGTGTTACTTATGACTTGTTGACTTGGCACCTCCGTTGTTAGAAATGGCTCAGCCTGTAGGTAGCCCTAAGAATATTTGGCATGAGCGATGTGATCGCTTGAAGAGCCAGGAAAAGCTAAGGAAGGAACATGGCAAGACTCTTTATATAAACAGGCACATAATGACTAAGTTCCCCTTACGTTCCTGTCAACAAGCACTCGGACAAAGAGAAGGAAGAGCTGGAGTGTGGGATATTCCTGAATTGCCCTGCTTCTGTTTTCTACAAAATACTTCAGATTTAAGCCCAGCAGAACCAGTGAGATCAAAACAAAGTCTATCAAGATGTGTTAAAAGCCAACGTGTTTTCATTTTCTAAATAATATTTTATGTTGCCATTAATCTTTGCAGCGGTTAGTGTCACAGGGAGAAGCTTTAACTGCTATTATTAGTGCCTAAACAAAGCAGTGTTTACAAGATGAGCCTATTTTGAGCCTGGAAAAATGAGTTGCCAAGATGAAAAAAAAATGCTGCATTTAATACACTTTCTGTTCCAAGAGTCACAGCAAAGCAGTGGTGTTGCTAACGAACCCAACTCCTTCTCTTGTTCTTTCTCACACCCCTGGTTTGTTTTTTGGGTGTTTGGTTTGGTTTGGTTTGTTTGTTTTTTGTTTTTTTTAAATTACACCTAAGATGGGTAAACAAGTAAAGGAAAATAAAAATGGAAGCGATCACGAGAGGTGAAGGGAAGGACTATCTCTGCAACAGTGGTGTGCCTTCAGAACAACAAATCTGTGTCTGAGGGAGGAAGGTGTCTCTGGCAGAAATACCAGTCACAGGTGAGGTTATAAATGGGGTGGACTTAAGGATCTGGTTGATGAAAGATATCAAAGGTCCTTATAACACTAAATATAGGGGTAGCTTTATCTCTTCCTTCTTAGGAGCAACTGTGTGAGACCCGTTCCAGGTACAAGATCTGATAACTTCAGAGAACAAATCTTAGCACATTATAAAAATAGAAAATATGGTAACTTCTGAACCTCACAAATTGATCACTTAGTCACGTGGAAACTTGAGGCTTTTTAGGTAAAACAAGCTTGTAAGCTCTAAAATGACACAACAGCAGTCGTTTCATTGGAAGTCAGTTATACTTTTCTTAATTATCCATTTTTGTCAGAATGAAATTACCTTTTTTTGTATTTTGCCTCAAGAAAAAGCAGAACCAAGGAGAGGTAATACCTCCCAAAGAGTATTCATCTGGGAGAGTATGTGGTGATAGGAATTTTGGATCTGGACCAGTATGAAAGGAAATTCAATTTTAGTTTCAAAGAAAACTCAGAAATCTTCATCAAAAAAAGACATTGTTTGCAAAGGCACTGTTTATATTTGCTCCTTTCTTTTAAAAAGGTGAAACAAAGCCATTCCACAACTGCAGTTGTGACTAAAAAAGGATTGTGACTAAAGATTGTAAATAAGCACCAAGTTAGCAAGGAAAAAGCTGCTGAAGTTGTTGATGAAAAGCTGGAGGAGAAACCTGCGGAGAAGAGTTACTGGATGAGCAGCAGGAGTCTAAACTTCAGATTATAATCGTGGATCAGCCTTGCTGGGAGCCCAGGAAAGGGCAGAAGCCTAAGGAAAGGACTTCAGCAACATGCATAGAAATAAAGGGAAAAGTAGTCAGGAAAAGTGAGGGAGAGCCTTAGGAAGAGCAGTGCCTGCTGGTGGAGGAGGTAGGTGTCCCGTGAGCAGCTGGAGCTATGTCAGGGTAGCAAGAGGGAAAAAAACCAACTAGTGAGGGATAGAACCACAGTGTAAGGATGTATGGTTGGAGGAAGAGGAGCTTTTCTATTTGGAGCTGCATCTTCTTCCCACTATATCAGAATAATTTAAATTTATTCCTATGTATTTCTACTGATTTGGTTTTTCTAAGCGTATTTCTTACGTTGGCTGGTAAGATCTTAGATAGAGTCAGTACTTCCAGTTCTTAATTCAGTATCTGCCATAAAAGATAAGGTGTGACATTTGTTGTCTGAATTAATTCATGATCTGTAGAGAGTGTGATGCAGAGCCTCTCACAGCAAACTCTTGCAAGAGGAGACTTTGTAATAGGAGAGTGACTGTGGTGTGGTCTGTATCCCACCCTGTCCAGTCAGTCTGTCTTCAGAGGGCTGTAAGCCCACAAGATAGTGTATTTTTTCCAGACCATTTATTGCACACTTTCCAGGAGCTTAAATACGTTTTGCTTCAGTCATTATCCATATGATTGGGGTTGGTTTTTTTTTTCCAATTCAGTGGAATAAGATACCTTTCAAAAAATATTTGTAACAGTCTTCTGTTTTTTTCAGCATGAGAAAATCTGGTCTCACAGACAAGGAAGGAAACTGTAATTGGAAAAATCAAGTTCAGACTTTAATTAGGCCCTTTTTACTAACGATATAATTTTCAAAAATATTTTGCATTGTGTAAATAAACATCTAAATAAAGCCTCATTTAATCAAATTTTCTCTCTGTAGGAATGGTCAGATGAAGTGTTCAGTTTGGCAACAAATTTATTGGCACAGAACATGTCAAGGGATGCCTTTCTGGAAAAAGCGTAAGTGGCCATCGTGTTTAATGCAGTGGGTGTTGCTCTTTTCTCTGCGTTATTTTCCTTTTCTTCTTAGTCACATTGTCATCCATTGTTTCTGCTTTGATGAGTTGTCACTTTTGTAAACACAGGCTGTCCTTTCTCATGGTTTTAAAAAGCCTGTTATCTAAACATCATTTAAACAAAAATCTTGTTAGAGTTCTTCTCGCAAACTATGAAGTCGTAGCAAAGAAACAGAATTAAATTAAATTAAATTAAATTAAATTAAATTCCCCTTGTATACCAAAGTAGCAGCTTCAGGTGCAGTCTGAAGCTCTCTGTTAAAAATGAAGAAATATTCTGGATTGACTTGCTTCAGGTTTATTTTCCTTTTTTTCTGCTATTCGTCAAAAAAAGAGAAATGCAATAAGTCCATTTTCTCAGTCTAATCTCTCTGATTTTCACATGACTCAGAGGAAAGCAGTGAATCCATTCATCTAGATTGCTTTGCACAGTATGCAGATTCTGAGTTGCTTTCAATGCAGTAGAAAAGCTGTTTCTGAGAACGTTTAGGGTGTAAAACCACACGTCTGGAATGAAAGAGAACTAAACCTGAGAGTAACGATTCTCCGCCAGCTAAGTGCACGTGCTGAGAGTTCTGCACAAGTGATAGCGTTGAGAACAGCATGGTAAATTCTACCAGATAATGATGGTAATGTACCGGGGTACGTGCTGGCCTTTTGGGGGTTCTAAAAAGGAAGATATACCCTCCCCAGCCTACACATTGGTGGGTTAAATGCAGCTTTGTGTCTCCCTTGAAACACCTTTTAATTTCTGTTCACAAAGGCTCAGTCCAGCTAAATACCAAGTCAAGGCTTAGGTTCTTAAAACATGCCTCTGTCCAAGAAGCAAGTTAACCCACCCTTTTTCTGAACTTTTTAAGGCTGTGGATGGCTAATTGAATTAGATGCATCCGTATTTAGTCAGAAGGTTCCCAACTGCTTAACTTTAATCCCACATACATATTCATAAGTGTCGGTTTTAGGGGGAGGGTGGAGACACAACACAGCAGGATAGGTGATGTGTTTCCTTCTCATAGCATTTGTTGTGAAGCTGAAGTCAACAGGAATTTTTGAAGAAACCTTGAAGGCTGGGCATTGCAGGAGCTACAGCTCTGTATCTGATAAGGCTTTGTTGGGACAGCAGTGATACATTAGGCAAACAAAATCCCAAATGGATGGAAACTTTTAACGTTCCCCTTTGGCTCCACATGTTGACAGTGGAGAAAGCACTGTGCTAACCTGAGCAGAGCCAGGTGTGTGAGCAAGAGCAGAGATGTCCATAGGTTATAGATGAGTTACAGGAGTGATTTGACATTATTTTTTTTCCATGCCCCCTACCACTCAAACCCTCGGGCCAGCAGACTTTGCTGACAGGCCTGTAATGGGGAGCATTGTGACTGTACCTAATGGGCGTTTTCATACCAGATTCACAGGAGGAACATGTTATCCCATGGTATAATAGAGCAGTCTTACTTGGAGCCATTTTTTTGTGGTTTTTCAAGCAATATTAATTAAAGATGAAGCGACGGGACATATTGCGTAGGTTCAGTAGCAGGCAAGCATGGCATTCCGTGTCTTTTTCTTTTTCCACTAATTAATAAATCACTTGGGAACTGTAGGGTTTCCAGGGTCCTCTGCACAGATGCCAAATCAGAGTCACTTAAGAAATCTTTTACTTTGAACATTAAAAATATTTCCCCATTATAATTACTATACTAAGCAAAGGGTTGGTTGCAATCCTATCAGAGCCCTTTTCGTCAGATAGAAAAGCAAATTGCATTAGAGCAGATTTGAAAAGGTGTTTTCCTCTGTGGCATTCAGTCTCTTGCAGTGTTGGAAGTGCAATAATAAACGGCTTGAACAGCTCTCCTGTGGTTTGGTCAGATGGCAAAAATCGGGTTAATTTGGGAGGAGGAGTGGTTAATAAAAACTGCCATTTTGGTTATAAAGTGATCATTCTTCTGTTGTAACCATGCAATGTATTTCTGTGTTGGGGTGTGAAAATGGATGGTGGAACACATTAGCACTGAAATACTGACCAGGCAGTAATGAGCAAAGGGTAACTCTACTGGGGAAACCTTGGGTCAACGTTAGGTCCAAAGTGTGTCATTCTTGGAGTCAGCACTGAACTGCTGGAATGAGTCCATTCAGCTGCTACCAGTGGGGACTATCTCCTAGCAAGGTTTTTAACAAAAATAACATGCTTGGTTTTCTTAGATGGATGGATAATGGTTTCAGGGTGAAAAATAATGTCTTGCGTGTAACAGAAGAATTTGGGAGGAAAAAAGGCAGCGAGTACTGGTGAGGGTTGACTGTTATTCAGACACACATTTTTAGTTTGCTTTAACTGAAGTTCAGAATCCTTTATCTTTATTATTGTCTCCATTTTCTTTTATTTCTAGCTCTCTTGGCTGTAGAGGAAAACATTAAACATGACCAGAATGTACTCAAAAGTTTCAAAAAGTAGAAGGCAAAATAAAAGGAACCTTTTTCTACCATTGTGATTATTTTTTTCTCTTTAATCTAAGTGCTGGGAGATGGGGTAGGGAGGATAATGTTTTTCTCTGGTGACACAGTAGCACAAGGGATTTCAGTTTCCAGAAGATGCATATGAGGAGACAAGGGTTTATGAAAATATTCCTATCGTAGTTAGGGATATTAGCACATACTTTGTTTTTGAAGTGGTTGCTTATGGCATTTTCTGTTGGGAAGAAGAGGAAAATTTATTAGAACCATGCAGTTTCTTTTTCCATTTGGGCAAAAGGAAAAAGGTTTTTAAGGAAAAAAAAATAAATCCTCTGAAATACTTAAGTGTTGTCACATTTTTCATCGGATCATATTACTGCAAAACTCATTTATAGTTTTAATTATATTTGAGTGGAAGAGATGAAACACTCAAAAAGTCATGCACCTCGCAAGCTGCTGCTGGTGCACATTATGCTGGTAACCAGTAGTCCTCACATACCAGGAGAATCGTCAGATACCAGTTGTTTGCCCGACTGCTTCCCATTACACCTTCTGCATGACTCCTGTTTCAGTAGGCTTTGAATCAGGGTGTTGAAAGATTTGGACAAAGAAAGAGACATCCTCATCCTGCTGCCTTAATGAGCATGGGAGAGGAGTCACAGGTCCTGAGATACTGGGATCCTCTAAATGCTCAGTTCAAAACCTGGATAATTGCCTGCCTGTAAGATGGTTTCAGCATGTAATTTTTATATTGCTTCGTACTGGAAATGTCTTGGGCTTGCCCAGGGCTGCTAAATATACTGACACTCTTGCTGGTGCAGAGTTACTTCAGTCGCCAGGGATTTGACTTCCTTCCAGCTGTGACAGCATTTAGGGTCCAACAAAGAAACCTTCACAGATGTGTGATGGGGAGGGCTTTAGGTTGCAGGGAAGTTGGCGTGCAACATCCAGGGGTGGTTTCAGCCTCCGAAGAGGAGGAGTACAGCCAACTTTCCGGTCAAATTGTGTAGCCTATGTGCCACAATTTGGTCTGCTGATAGACTGACAGGCAGCCTGGGTGAGAAGGAGCTTGAGGGGGATGATAAATTTGTGCATTAATGCAATTTGCAATGTCCTGTTGCAAGGTGGACAGTATTTCACACTACAGGTGCATTACTGTTGATGGAAAAGGTATTTACTGATTAATTTTATCCCAGCAGGCTTTCATATTGAGCAAAAGTGATTAGTGGAACTTGCCACATGATCACAACAATGGCATCGAGCTAGAAAGTTGATGGAGAGGTACTTGAAAATGCTGTAAAAATAAAACAAGATGCTTTTCTCTCCACAGTTATACAAAACTTAAGCTGCAGGTGACTCCAGAAGGGCGCATTCCTCTGAAGAAGTAAGTTCTGTTCCCCTTCTTTACCATGTAGTCTCCTCTGACTTTTTGGTGTGAATATACATTTGAGATGTCAGAGACATATTGTGAGGATAAATATGTTCAAATAGTGTACTGCTGGGGTAATATGAAGAGAGCAATGATGACTTTTCAAATAACTACCTTTTGCAACAGGGGCTTATGTGGAGTAGAGTTAAACTCATTGTGAGCATCATTAAACTCATTTGTGTTACCAAGCAGCCAGCCATATGGAACTAAATAGCTAAAGGTGCAATAGACTGGGAAGTGATATTCAGTCCTTAAGCCACATGGGCCGTGAAGGCATGTCTTTAAGCCAATTCCCTCTGGTTTGTCTTTGTTTTGCAGCATATACCGCTTGTTTTCCGCTGACAGAAAGCGAGTAGAGACTGCATTAGAAGCTTGTAATCTTCCATCTTCCAGGGTAAGCATCTGAATTTATTCCTGGTCCTTGCAAATTGTTGCTTGTATTTGGTGGTGTTTACCCTTTATTTAGTTGAAGACAGTTTGTTCAAGGCTGATCATGCTGTGCTGGCTTTGCTTCCAGATAGGTGCTCAGCAGCAGGTCTGTCTTTCCCACACAGAAGTTCCTGACGCCCATCTGCAAATCTAAGTACCTTTGATTTGAAATTGTATAGGGACCAGAAGTGCCTGAAGGAAGTGCAAATGGGTTAAAGGAAAGGGCAGGGGCTTGTGTGACCTGTCCTGGAGAAATCCTGTGAGAGTATTTTAAGAGTCTGTGACTGTTGCACAATTTTCAAGGTATGATTTCAGCGTTGTGTTAGCTTGAGGTGTAGCTAGTGGTGTAATCTCTTTCTCTCTCACAAAAAAAAAAAATCTATAGCTTGAGTTAAGTGACAATTTAAACTCACTGTAGCTTATTTAAAAGGTGCATGGAGTAAATGTGGAAATTCTACAGTGCCAAAGCTGTTAATGTTGCAGGGATGCAGCCATTGTATGCTGCTAATCCAGGAGCTCTCCTCAACCTGGAGCATTTGCAGGATGGTACCTCACCCTCAGGAAGGCTTTTTTCAAGAAGAATGAGCTCAAGCAGATGATTCTGGAGAACACTGGAGTGAAGATGCCCTTAGTCTTTCCTCCCAGTTGGAGATTCTCCTCCAGGAAGCTTCTTGCAGGAGAATTACTGTACTTGGAGGCCCAACCTTGTTCGCTCAAGCTTTGCTTTCTTGATGGTCTCTTAATACAGCCAATTCCTACAGTTTCAGAAGAGCAATGGGGCAAAGCCTTGACAAGCCAAACCTCAGATACCCCTTACCAATGAGACCTTCTTTCACAGACCTGGGAGATTAATTCAATGAAATTCCAAGGAATGTCTGTAAAAAATTATAACAGCCTTACCTGAAATAAGGTTGTGAGGTTAGAAACATGGAAATAATTTTTAAGATAGGTTTTCAGTTAATTGTTAGCAAACAAGATAAGATGTGCAGAAAAATCTCTGAAGCTTTGCTTTTTAAATCACTTGATTTATTACTGTCGTTTACTACATATCTCTGAAAAAAATCTAAACATCACAGGAGTCCTTGAAAGAAACTGCAACCTTTTTTCTGCTATTTATTTAAGTAAAGCTAGTATTACATATACACTGCTGGATACTTGTTGCTGGGATACCATCTTGAAAATTATTCATAGTATAAAGTAGATCCTTTCTTTAGTTGGGACAAAAGAGAAATGCGCTTCATGCAACAGAGAAAACTGTGTTGATCATCTTGGAAAAAAATATTTTAGAAGCTAAGTACTTTAGAAGCATGAATCTCTGAACCTCATAGAGAAAAGAAGATCAGTTCTTCAAGTACAGCTCTTTTCCTTTGTGTTCCTGTTTATCTGAACAAGTGAAATTCTTAGCTTCAACTTCCAACTTTTCTGCCCCATTGTACTGCAGGACAAATGATGTCCCCACAAAGCCTTGGAAGAGCACTGGATTCCGGCAGCATGCAAGACATGAATATCAGGGAATCTTGCTAAGCAAAATCAAACCAAATTATTCAGAGAATTAATGAAAGTCTTTAATGGACATTATCAGCTAAGGCTTTGTTTTGGATTTTTTATATTTATGCCTTATGAAGATCCCTCTAAAGATTTTATATAAAAAAACCACACCCCTCGTTTATTAGGAAGATACGGGGCTTGTTGACCATGAGTTTTGCACATTTTGCTGTACCCCTCAGAACCTGTGGATGACCCTAAAACACAAAATGAAATTCACAGTCATGGGGAAGAGGATGCCAAGTCAACGCTGATCACTGTCTTCCTGATTCATAGCTTCGGATTTTGGACAGCTTCTCACCTATCTTATGCAGTGAGCTGAGCACAGGGAGTCTGAGCTTTGCTGCCAAAGTGTAGTATCACTACATGGACTTGTCTGTGACAGTACAAACTTCAGCATCTGCTAGCCCTGCTCTTTAGTGAATTCCCTGTGTATGTGCTCACCAGGAAACCTTGTGGGACAATGTGTGGGCATTGTATGTAGAGTGAGCAGAAGAGTTCTCATTTTCTTGAAGATTGTCTTCATCCTGCTGTAGAAGGATAGCACTAGAGAGGCTCCCTAGAAGCACCAAAACCAAACTATTTCATGTTTTGGGACCTTAATAAGGGCTGAGCACTCCAGCCCTGATTCAGCCAAGCAGTTGAGTGTGAATGCAATGGGATGACCCATGGACTTCAAGTCAAGCACATTTTTTTGATTGATTTATGGCAGAGACCTGGCATATGTAACATTTTGCAGAATCAAGCCCTGTGTGACCTGATTTTCGGCAGCATTCATCGTCCAGCAGATCTGACACCAGAGGAACGTTTATAGAAATGTTAAAATGCAGTTTTAAAAAAATGCCAATGACTTTTTGATTTGGACTTCTGGTTCCCTTGTGTTTTCTTTAAATCTTGCCTACTTTTGGGTGGTGCTAGTGTGGAGCTTTTTGTTCTTGTTGGGTGTTTCTTTTTGGTTTTAGTCGAAAGTGCCTCAAATAGAATTTGGAGAGCTTTGTTTTAGTTGCCTGTTTGGTTGTGAAGACTGGTTTCTGCTTTCCAAATGTAGAGGTTCACAATGAAACACCAGTGAGCTTAATGTTAACCCCAAATAAAACAACCAGCTTTTGAGTCCTGTCTGTGCAAATAGTCTGAATTAACTTTTGTGCTGCCGAATATGTAACAGACTGGATACAGATGTTATAAAAGCAGGCATGTTACCAGAGAAATGATAAATCAACAGTGCTTGAAATTAGTAGAATGTCTTAATCACATAATAAAATCGACTGCAAATATTCAGCAAACCCAGAAATGAGGGATGCTCTCATGTGGTACAGAAAGTTTGTGATTTGTTCATTGGTCTCAAAAAAGAGATGAGCACATAAGGTGTGTGGGTGGTTCCACTGAAATGTGGATGGCTCAGGCCAGGCTGAGGAAAGGGGCAGTGTATTTTAATCCTTTTCAGCAGGCAGACTTTTGAAATCCAAATATAGTTGTCTGAGGTTGTGCCTGGGGTGGCAAATGCTTGCAGGAAGGCTTTTAGATCTCTGTGTTTTGAAGCCCACTGATTACATTACTGATAGGAAATAATTAATTATTTAAAGGTTCTGTACTTATGTCTGAAGAGTTGTATTTGTTAGCCTCTTTGTAGATAGGCGTTTGGAGATGCATGTTGGCAAACTGAGGTATATTTTCTTAATTGGAACCGAGTGGCAAATAAAATCCTGGATCTCAGGTTATCGTGGGTTAAGATCCATGTTTTGTTCAGTGTTGAGTACCTTCAAATCCCCTGTAAAGGAAAAAAAGAGATTGCCTCAACGGGTGACTATTATTCTGTGGTAATTACAGAATCAATGTCTAAAATGCCCTTAGGAGAAGCGCTGCCTGAGAAGTAGCCTGCTAATTAGGGGTTATAGGTAGAGGGAACAGAGCAAAGTGGGCTGCAAGCTTTAACAAGAAGATTCACAGCTTTATGAATCCTAGCCTTTAGAAAAACGTAAGTATCAGCAGTCCTACTCTCAACTGAAAGCACCACAGCTCGAGTTTATCAAAGTGTAGTAGGTGCAGTTTCACTCATAGTTCTATGTTGCTGATGGCTGTCGCTGAAAGGATCTATTTCCATCCTCCAACTTCTCCATCCACCCTTGCACTGCTTTTAGCAGTTGTGCCATTGGCAAGTTACCTGACTCAGCAAGGTGATCCCACAGTAAAGTGCATGGGGTTGTTTTGACCAGGTAAGTTTTGAACCAGTTCACCCTGCAGCCACTTGCACAGCCTGCCAAAACAAAAAAGGCACAAAATGGCTGGTGACCTTAGGCCATTGAAGCCTGGAGATGGATACGCAGGTGGAGCAGGGAAGCAGCTTAGCTTGATCCGAGCACGAGCTGGGTCCAGTTGCAGACAGAAACGCTGAAAGATGGTCATGGTACAAAACTCTCGTAGGCCTCTGCAGGTTTCATAGATGAAAGGAGAAATAAAGTGACACCTGTGATATTTTTTTTTTCCTGAAGCAGAAAAATATGGAAAAATTTCCTTCCGTCTAACAAAGGCTTGAATCAACGCTTCTGGTTCCCTTAGCAACAGTGTTAAACAGGCGGAATAAATAAAATCAGCAGTTTCCTCTATCAGCAGCTTGCTTCTGAGACAATCAGGTTCAACGGTGTTTAAAAACAAACAGCTTTGTGTCCAAGTTACAGTTTTCCTCTTACAGTTCATCAGATTTGGGTATTATTTTGGAGCCATGGAGAGGTGTCATGTGGGCCCATGGTGGTCCTGTTGACTACATGTCATAGCTTTTGAGAAGGATAGCTTGCATGGAGGAAACTCAAAAAATAGATTTTCAGTATTTGCATTTCATGGGTTTTGTGTTTTCCTTTTCCTTGTTCCTTTCTAAGGTTTCCTCTACTCAAAATACAAGCCTGTAGTTTGTGCAGAGGATGATTAAAGTGTCACCTAGAAGCAGGATTAAATGTAAATTGTTCTAAAGCGTAGAAAATGTAAGTAAAAAATGTTGGTATCTCTTCTATAGGAGAGCATTTGTATCAATTACTGTAAAAGAAATCTGATTGCCAAATGCATTACACTGAGTGTTTAGGACAGAAATGTATGGAAAAGCTGCATTGCACGAGTCTTGCCCAAAATCGCTATATCTTGAACGTGTATCTTCAGGAAAGTAAAGGAAACATTCATGCTGCTGTCAGAGAACAAGGTTATTAATAATTAATATTAATAATGACTCAGTGACCCAGTTTGCTCTCTAGTTCTTTGAAAGCTTTGAAAAAATGAGTGATGTGCTCATCCCCGGTAACGCTGCCATTTTGCTCGCTGAAGCACGCAGGCTCAGCACCACTGGCCAGCCGCCTTGCTGGGAGTGAGCTCAGAGGCTTCATCGTGATTGCTGTACCTATTTATCCTATAGACAAGGAGGTTAGATGGGGAGGTGTCCGTCCTTTGTTGTTCACAGGTGCTCAGAGAAAGAGATAACTTCACCTTATGGAAACTAAGATGATAGAGGTATTTGTAATTTTTTTTCAAGATGTACTCTTTAAGCTGCTCTGTTATTCAGAGGAATTTATAGGCTTCTCTAGGTTGCAGGAAGGAAACCAAAAGAAGTGCAGTAGTTAGTGATATGTTTCCAAAGAGTGTATAAAAGTGTCATATCGTTCTTTCACTGTTTTCTTCCTGTTTCACAGAATGATTCCATCCCTCAAGACGACTTCACACCAGACGTGTACAGGGTGTTCTTAAACAACCTCTGCCCTCGGCCTGAGATTGACCACATCTTTTCTGAGTTGTAAGAGAAGACACTTGTTTATTTTTTAATGTGGTTTTTTTTCCCCTCCCTTCACTGATTTTCTGGACTCAGGATGGCAAAATAGATTATTTAGACTACAGCAGCATGCAGCGATGCCAAGAACAGATTTCAGTGTCAAGCAGGGCTGTTATTTAACCTTGGATCAAGGGTTCCTTCTCTTCTAAGCTTTTGCCTCCATTTCTAATGGCCAGAGTTTTAAGCAATTTATTCCTAGAGAGGCAGAACTCCTGGGTCTTGTTTTTCCGTATGGAGTAGGATAGTTTAGCCTTTCATGAAAGTAAAGGAAGAGAAGTAATAAGCAATAACAGTATGCAATAGGCATGAAAATATGTATAATCACCCCCAAAAGCTTAATTAGGAGTTGCAAAAAAGTGCAGTAACTTTTACGATTTGTGCATCATGAACTCACACAGTGAAATTAAATTAGCAGCCAGCTACAACTAATTTCATACACTGAGTTACAAGCTTATCACTCATGTTACTTCTAGCCCTTACAGCAAGTCATTGTACTTCCCAGATTCAGCAGAGCCTGATCAATGGAGTCAGAACATGAAGCAATATGAAAGCAAAGTAATTTCCTAAATACATTCCAAGACCACTAAAGCAATTAGTGAATGCATCTTTGCAACATGAGTGTGCTTATGTGGTCCTTTTGTGCTTATTTTCTCCAAGGTTGAGGTTTCAGAGGCACTCAGCCTTGACCTAGTTTGCTCCCTTTGAACCTGGGGGTAGACTTTCCATTGCTCGTTCACGGAGTAGAAGTAGGCCAGTCCCAAGTGCTGTAGACAACCCTAAGCACGTCACCTGGCTTGGAGGTTTCCTGGATCTCCATCTGGGTACAGGTTGTACCCAAACTCTGCTCTTTTCACTAACTCTCTAAATAGGCAGCTTTTTGCTTGCTTTGCAGAGTGCCTAGCATTTTTTAGCAAGTTTATTTAAACTTTAAAAAAATCCCAAAGCCCAAACAAATACTAGAATAATGAAATCAGGGCTACTGTTATTCAGCAGTAAAACCAAATAGTTAGGTAGGAATGCCAGCAGAGTGTTTCTGGCAAGTTTAAGATTGAATTCCAGGTAATTTTCTCTTTTACTTTTTTGCATTGCTTGGTTCCAGGAATTCAGAGGAATGAAAAGCTTTTAGCATTGCTGTGACTCTTCCCATTTATGTCAGTAATGCTGAATACTGTTAAAAACCTTACTTCTAGATGTTTGATGAAGAATGTTTGTCGTTACTTGCTGGCAAAATAAGTTAATCTAGAGACAGAGTGGGACAGTGTTTTTGTTGTACAATTATTTGAATCTTGTTTCCGTTTCCCTGCAATGTTACAGAACAATGAATGAGATTTCAGGCAAATGTATTTTAATGGCTTTGCTGTTGCTTTAACTTTTCTTTAGTGGTGCCAAGAGTAAACCATACCTTACTGTTGATCAGATGATGGAATTTATAAATCTTAAGCAACGTGATCCACGATTAAATGAAATCCTTTATCCACCGTTAAAACAAGAACAAGTTCAACAGCTGATTGAGAAGTATGAACCCAACAGTAATCTAGCAAAGAAAGGTCAGTGATTTTTATTTTCTTGCTGTACTCCGTTTCTGATTTGAAACAGTAACTCTAAAGCAAAATTTGGTTCAGAATCAAATTGTTCCCAACTATCTGCTTTTGGATTATACAAGCCTGTGAGACATCGTGTGGTACGTTTTTAAATGTATTCTGTTGGGATCAGTTTAGGAAGAATGGAACTGGTTTCAGTATTTAGTTTTCAGTATGTGTAACTGATAGTTTAGAACAGTTGCTCCGATATGCAAACTTCAGCAGAAAACTTACTATCACAGTGACTGTTTACTGGCTTCTGAAGTGTAAAATTCAAAGATAAAATCAGTGATGATGAAATTAAGGTGGTGATAATTCTGTCATTTAGTAATAGTAATAAGTCCAGCACTCTGCTTTTTGATAAAGTTGTACACAAAGATGTGAGAGTAGCTGAGTATGTTTCATGCTATAATCACAGAAAATTCCCTTCTGAAAATCTCGAGTGTTGTCAAGGCTTAACTGAGCATTTCGTCTAAACCAGCCAGAGGACTCCTGCTCAAATCTCTGCAGACTTTTTGCTACCACTGCAAGTCTTAAAATAGCATTGGATTTGTGTCTGCGTCCTGTTTTATTCCAATCCACATATCCTAATGATTACCCCAACTTTCAATGTGTTTATACTTTAGAAATTTTAGGGGCATGGGAATATCCTGAAAAACAGATCAATATGAAAAAAACTGGTTTGAGCCAGAGATTTTGGGTCCAGAGGAAACACAAAAATATCTTTCCCAAGAGTCTAGAGGCTGACTGAAGGCACTCCTGCCCCTCTCCCTGGAAGCCTTCTGACCTAGGTGTCTTCCTGAAGGAAACCTGTGGCTCTTGATGCCACGATGAATGTTGTCTCAACGCAAAACACTTGAAATTTTTCTCATAAGGCTTCTTTTTTTTTCTAGTCCAATCATATTTAGTGTTTCCAGAGGTTTTGATGGAGGATTAAATCCTGCTTCTTTGTCATGCTTATGCAAACTCTCTTTTGACGTCAGTGAGAATACTAATGTGAGTAGATGAAAACACATTGCAACCTCCTCTTTCATCCATGCAAATATTAGAATATTGTTCTGTGCTTACCTTATTTCACATCAGCGACAGGAAAGCCTGGTACCTAAAAGATCATTCTTATTACCCAAATATTGGCACTTCATGTAAACCAAATAAAGGTTTTATTAGAAAGAGGTGTGCTAGCTTTCTTTGACTCAGGTCAAAATGAAATCACCTTCTGACTAGCAATAAGGAGAAAGCTTGAAACAAACCTCAGAAAGAAGGGTATTGTGATGGTATTTGCTGGCAAGCTCCATGGAAGTCAGATTTGTGGGACACTTCCAGCTTACTCTAATTTACGTTGGTGCACACATTTGCTGCAGGCACTTTCCATTCACCTATGGAAATAGGTGTCTCAGTTCTCACAGAAAATGCTGTTTCAGAAGGGAAAGGCAGGTCATAGACAGTTAATTCCTTTTGTCAGTGTTTGTTTTTTCTCTTCAAACTTGTGCACTGGAGTCCTGCAAACTCTGGCAAAGCTGACACAACCTGCAGGCCACCTCTTCACTGCAGACACCACCTCTTACGTAGCACCCGGTCCGGTGGCTGCGCTGCGGTAACTGGCCCATTCTGCTAATCAGGCCCCAGTGCAAATCCTGAGTATAGTGCCTTAAAATGACAGTAATTGGCTAATCGGGAATGCCATGGGGACTCAGTATTTTCAGTACATCTCCGAATTGGAAATGCAATTCACTGTATATTAAATGAAGTGTAGGTGTGCTCACAATCCTACACACACAGAACAATTGCAAACAAAAGCTGCATGTCTATAAAATGTCACCAAAATATAACTGTGCATATTCAAGATAATAATTTAACCTTTTAATATGGTGTTTTGTAAAAGGGATTGTCACTCAGGCTTTCTGCTGTTGGAAAGGACTGTTCATAGGCTGAATTCCAGGGATGGCAGACCAAGGTGACACACTTCAGTGACACTTTCCTTGCCACTGAAACTATACTCACTTGGATCACTGAGCAGAGATTTTATTTTCAGTAGACCTGTGGATGTTCAAAGCACAGTTAGATGTGGTCTACTGTTGTACCCCCATGAACTTGTTAGACTTAACTTCCCTCCTCCACTGTTCACATATTCTACTACATTTCTTGTAGCGATATTGCTTATGTCCCCTTATTTTCTAGGGCCAAAGTCAGCTGAGAATTAGGGATGGAAGTAGGATGTTTGGAATAGCCCCAGCGCTGTCAGTAAGAGCAGGCAGAAACATTAGTACACCCAGACCAGCAGCTAAAATAGGTAAGAAGGTAGCAAAAGCCTTCATCCAGCATAGTTCTCAAAGAAAATAGGGCTCAACAGCTCTGTGAAGAGAGATGGGCTTAGGGTCCACATGTTCCTTTATGCTTCTGCATTTCAAAGTAATCTGAAAGGGGTCACAGCTAAACAACAACTCAGGATTGATGAGGTACACCAGAAAACAGAAGAACTGTGTATGGAAGAGAGGAGCAGTGTAACAAGGCACATGAGGCAGAGGTAATGGTGTGAATTACATGAAAAACAGCATGATGGGAAACAGTTACAGATGGCCTGAAAATTACTTCATCGCTGTTGTACCAGAGCGGTGCAATTAAATAATTGGACTTTTGGAGCAGTTTTGCAGAGTTTTGGTTCAGGAATGAAGCCAGAAGATCTGACAATATGGTATATGTATTTGTTCTTTCTCGGCAATGAGAACTTACTCCTTCAAAGTAAATCACAGATATGGGTTCAGAACAGAAGAAAATACCACAAAGAAATTTAAAAGTTGTGATTAACGGCTTCTTGAGAGTAATGAGGGATTTGTAGTACTTTATGGTGGTGGTAGAGACTTTAAAGGCTTGTTTGCAAGAATTAGATTGTATAAGTTGCCAGCCTTGATGCAAGTTAAATCACTTTCCTCAGATTGTTGTAGAGTTTGTACATTTGAAGCTGCTCAGCACTGTGTGTGTGCACACATGCCTGCACACAGATATATCGTTTTGTTTCTGAAAGGTTTTCTGCCTTTCTTACCGGCTTCATTCATTGTCTTGTTTCATTATTATAACATCAGATTGCAGAGAGGTTAGGGACAAACCCACACATAAATGGTGAAGAACTGTCCACTTTTAAGTTTGTTCCTGTAATATTTCTGTATTTCTATATTAAACAATCTGTCTGATGTTCAGATGTCCCACTGAAATAAAGGGATTCATGTTCAGCATCCTCATGAAATAAGCCAAGCTCTTTTCTTTCATTTGAACTTTAAAGCCTGCATAGCCCTTGTTTAAACTGCCAGAAAAAATGACTTGTACAAAAGCCTGAGACAAAGTTAGTGGCCCATGACCTTATTTTAGCAGATATTTCATAAGGCCACAAGGCCTACATTTCTAATCATCTTTCATAAGGTTAGACAAAATATATATAATTTTTCTTTTTTTCATGTGTACGGTAGCGCACGTCAAGATGCAAACTTAAACTGAACACTTGCAGTTCACAAGGTGTAAAAGCATTTATTCTGTGGAAGTAAGATTTCATGTTTGCAACATGCAGAATGTCCTGGCCTTGATGTAGTAAATCACTTAAGCATATGCTTAGCTTTATGGGTGATGTGGAAAGAGAGGATAGTTATAAAAATCTCTTGTGCTCCAGTTCCTTGAACGTCATATTAATTCTCTGTTGAAGCTCAATTTCCACGTTTACCTATTTCCCAACATTGTTAAAGTGAAATTTCTGGGCAGTTCTGGCCAAAGCCAGGTACCTGGGCAACTTCTGAGAGGGTGTTGTATTTCCTTCTTAGCAAACAAAATGTTATGCATTGAAAAGTTCTTTAAAATAAATTAGAGATTTTTGCTTGAAAACTTAAATCCAAATTCATAAAATAGAAACACCGTGCCTTTGTACAGCAGCCTGACTACCCTGTTTGGACAGTTCTACACCTTCACTTATCTGATGATTATATCTTCTAATTTTATATCTGACTGTATTCATGATCTGTTAACATCCACTGTACAACAATATTCTCTTTTAGCTTAATTATTCTTCTCTCATAACTAGTTAAATGAATTTCTAAAGAATGGTTGTACTGTCTCTCGACTTTCACAGCACTAGTCAAATGCTTTTGACATCTCCTAATTCTTCATTCCTCTGATTGCCATTGTAGCCCTTTTTCTGTACCTGTTGCAGCTAAATTACAGTATTTTGAACACAGTAAGCAAGAACTGTACATAATATTTTACACTTTTACAACATTACTCTTCAGGTACCTGCTGAAATCCAGTACCAATATGCTTACTGGGTCAGGGCCTTAGGTTGCAGAATTTTGAGTAAAAAGGCTACCTCTGTTCCTGCTGGTTGCTAATGTATTTTTAGGTATTGTATCGCTGGGATGTGATTGAGCTTTTGCAACATCAGCAGATACGTGGGCTTGAAATCTACATAGGTTAAGCATCTGGAGTAGTATTTTATTGTGGTTGAAGCAAGCTGTTGTGATTAATGCTTTGTGTCATACAGTGAAGGAGATTAATGTGCTATGTATAGCATGTTTCCTTATCAGGTGGAAGCAGAAGGAAGTTCCTGGTACTGCTGAGCAGTCTCTCGCTGTCAGCAAAACCATGCTGGGAGGCTGTTAAGGCTGGTTAAGAAGCATCTTGTAGTTTGGTATTTTCAGGCTGTAAAGCATTTGCATTGGGTGGCTGGCATAAATGCAAAAATGTATTCACCCAAGATAGCTGGGTAGCATTCAGGGACT